GTGGACACAGGCCTTGGGACTAGGCGCTGTGTTACCTAAGCCATCTTGGGGTCTCTCCACTGTCGCCTTATGGTAGCTCCTGACAGTAGGGGAAGAGGCTTATCATCTTGCTTGGTATATTATGTTTTTATATTATGCTCTTGTATTCCTGTTTAAATCTGTTTGCTAGAGTTAACAATAAAGCTTAAAATCTCCTTAGCTACTGGTGTGTTCATTGTTTCTGGATCTAAAAGAACTAAAGAACCAATTGCCTTGAGAATTGGCAAAACAACAGTGCAATTTCTATGAATAAATATGGAAATCAAGACATTCATAGCCTTCAGACTCATATCCACTGGGCTTGGTGCCCAGGTAGATTGTCAAAGGGAATGCCTAACTGTATGAAATGACCTATTTCAGTCTGACTTTAGAGCAAACTTAGGAATGAAATTGTCTTAGTCAATCAGGTTGGCTTTTTGTTTTTGTGGGAAGAGAATGTGGTAATATTTGCTTGTTGATATTCCTGGATTTCTCAGGAACTATTGGTACCCCCCAAGAAGGGAATTTTTTTAAATTACCACTCCGACTTGAAGCATATGGTAGTTTGCTGCTGTGGGAAGAACGCTTCCTGTCGATAGCAATGGGGACTGCCATTTTGCTTGAGATATTTTCCTGTGGGTTTCCACCTCAAGACGCTTTCTCCTTCTCCTTCTGCTTTTCCTTCTCCTTCTGTCTTTTCTTCTCCTTCAAGGGGTAGAGTTCAGAGCAAACAAAAATTGTTTTTCTGAACTTATGGTCCCATTTACATATCCTGCTAACTGCAACACAAAGATGCCCCATTAACAAGAACAGGTCCTTCAGGAATAAGACCTCATGACATCAGCTTTGTCTCATCTTCAGCCTGCCATGGAGTCAGCTTATGTTTGTCCTTAGCTGTCCAGTGTTAAAATGGTGGTCTGCCAACACAAGTCTTGCTGTATCAGTGAATTTACAATGCTTTATTGACTGTGGTCAATAATACGGACAAGGGCTGCAATCTCCTCTACTTCCATCGGCCATTTTAGATGGCCGCAGGCACCCTCCTTCCCCTTTGGTCTCTTGACACTGTTTTTCAGAGTCATTTTGCTGTTGGCAGTTGGAGTCGGATTATTTCAAACCCCACTTTCCCCCATGCCAAAGATCCATCTTTCTTTAGTTCTGCCATCTCTGCCAGATCAGCAACAGATGCCAAGGCTGTCAAGACAGGGCAGGTTGGCAAGAGGGCAGGTCGCCAATATTTTCTCCACTAGCTCCATGCAATCAGAAACCAAGACAATATCAGCCCTGCTTCTCTTAGCTTACCACTTGAGCCTGTGCTGGCAGCTGATCCTGAGGCCGCCAGGTCTGGATAGGGTGGCAAGGCAATTAATTCTTGCTGCAAAGTCTCCGTTTGCATGGAGCTGAACTACATGTTTAAAGACCTGACAAGGAGAGAGTTGAATTCCTGCAGCCAGGAACTGCTCAATCAGCTCAATAAGCAGCTGGCTGGCACCAGCTGGAATGGTACCAGGAAGGAGAAGCTTCATTGCTGGCTGGGGAATTCTGGGAGTTGAAGTCCACACATCTTAACGTTGCCAAGTTTGAGAAACACTGCTAGAGTCCCTGCAATGTCTGTCAGGAATTTGGGGGCTACTTTAAACATAGGTTTAGCACTTTTTCAGAGGAGCACTACACTCATGTTTAAAGATAGTTCCCCCCAAATGGTAAAGATAGTATCCCTTGTTATTGAGGCAAAGTAAGACCCAGTCACAAAGACACTGCAATTTATGCCAGCTAATTTTTCTGCTGATTCAAGGATGGGAGAAATATACATTAATGTAGCCATGAAAAAGAGCCTTATGTTTGGGGATGTTGGCACAATACTCTTTCAACAGGGAAGCAAGGACGGGGTCAACAACTTAATCTAACTCCATTGAATTGTTTGGTTTGTGATTTTTTCCTCCTAGATCATTTATATGTTACACATTAGAGGTATTCAAATTCTTTGAAAGAAGTGTTTGTGGACACCCAGGAGCTCTCTTTTTTTAGTCATCAGAGCAGTGACCTCTTTTTCCAGGCTTCTGCAGCCACAAAGACAGCAGCTTCCAAAGCAGCTGCACCATCCTGGGAAAAGACACGGCTGCTTTAACGATTCAGAAAAGGAGGTGCTCCTGGGTGGTTTGAAGCACCCCTTTTAAAGGAATGGCACAGCCCTGTTCCCCAGTATATTAAATATAGTGGCATTTGCTTGATAATTTGGATTACACTATTATTGTTACTTGTAATATATGGAAATTTACACTTGCAGTCCTTTCTCCTCCCCTCCCCAATTTAATAAAGAAAAAATATTACTTCTAAAGTGCCTCTGTGTGAAATGCTTGGGCACCAGAGTGTTTTAGGCTTAGCAAGTTTGACACAAGGACTGAATCAATGCTCCACATGTGTCCATGGCCCAAAGGAGTTGCTTACCCCTGCACTAGATCATGAAAGCATGTGCTGATATTGGGCATCCTCAATTTAAAATCAACTCTGTATGCAGGTCTTCATATCACTATAATGCATTATCCAATTTTTAAAATTGTATCAGTTCATACCTAAAGCTGAAACTTGCCAGCCAAACAAGAAGTGTGACACTGAATCAGAAAAAAAGGGTATTAATTTGTATGGATCTTGAATGTAAGGGCAGTATTATTACCAATCTCTGAAGGACACAAATGTTCATATCTGGGGGAGGAAAACATTTAGAAAAGTGGCAGAATAAAATAGAATTGATAATATTTCCTAAGCAGCTCTGGATCATTCATTAAGAACCTGTTCATGCAATTAAATGCACTCTCAAACTGAGAGTTTCATTTGGCTGATCAGAGGCTGCTAACTGAAGGAGAGATCAAGTTACTTTTCAGGACTTGAGCATAATACTGCAACCAGTAAGGCTTGGAATGTGAGTACTGTTCCCCCTTACATGAGAGTAAGTCCCTTTGAATTAAATAAGGTTTCGTGTTGAATAAATGTGTCTAGCATTACACTGTACATCGCTATTTAGCAAAATGGTAGACTACAGAGAAACCCTAGCAGCCA